CAATGAAAAGTGTACTTGTATCCGACCCTACCCCTCTTGCTTTCTGTACCCATAAAAACTTCCTCCACCCCGGGTTCGGGGCTCGTCCTAGGCTTGCATGCCAGGAGAGTCCAGGCTTCCCGGGGCCTGAAATAAACTCATCTCGTGCTTTTTACATCGGAGTGTGTCTCAGACTGTCTGTGGGGGTCTTTTGGAAGAATTTCAGGCATAACAGGTTAATTTCCAAAGCAAGAACTACCAGACATCCCACTGCCCACTGGCATTGACTATGTGTAATTAACAGTATAGTAGAAGAAATGGGATCTGCTTAGAGATTTAATATCAAAAGTCACTGCAATTATAGTCTCTGAATGATATTACTAAAAAGGCTGGTAAAAGGCAAGCCAGTTAGACGACCAAGCCAGGCATGGTTTTTAGGTCCTGGGAATTTGATATCTTTTAAAAGACATTCTGGAAACAAAGCAGAATAGAAAGATTTGAACAACTCACTGGTGTTAAATCACTAAATATCAAATTTTGATTCTAACAATAGAAAGAGTCCACCTTGAAGGACTATCTATCAAAATAACAGTCAAATCACGCCCTCCTGAGTGAGAAAAGCAGAGCTCACTCTTCAGGGGGGCACACAGGTGGACTGCGGGAGTCACCTGCAGTGAGGATGGCAGCTAAGAAGAAACTGTCATCACTTCCCAGTTGAATGGAACATTCAGATTCTCTCAAGAGGCTTTTCGTGGTCATCTTTTAAAGAAATTATACTAGGCCTTAGTGATAAACTATTATGGTCTCGGCCCACATTCACTGGACAAGCGTTTCTACGGAAGCTGGGGTCTACAGCATGCACTCTATCTTGGCTCAATTTCTGCAGTGAGATTAAATGGCATCAGATAAACAGAAACAAACTAAAGGGATTCCCACTTACTTAAAAAGGCCTAAAATTTTAATAAATTCTAATAAAAATTTACAAGAACCAACAAGTTCTAATTTTGTCTATATTTGCACCATTTCGACCTCTAGAGAGGTAACCATGAGTTTAGGTCCAGGGGGCTCTTCCAAACCCAGCTCAACATGATTCCCAGAGGCCTTCCTGGGCTAACTGAGAGCATTCTGCCCACACCTTAAAAACACATTAGCAATCTCTGCTTAGATTTTCCTCATCCACAGCAGGCAGATGTGTAATTTTATGCTATTTCATACATTTGTAAACTGCAGCCTCTTCCACAAATTGGAAGCTCACTGAAAAAAAAAAAATATATATATATACATTATGTATAAATATGCATCATATATATATGAATTTTTCCTCCCTTGTTTCCAAGGTATTTATTATAACATTAGCTACAAAGATGTGCAAAATGGGGGAGAGGGAATGAGGGAGGGGAGTGAGAGGGGAGGGGAGGGGGCCGGTGCATTCACACATAATGGGCACAATATAAGGGTATACGGCACACCTCTTGGGTGTGGAACACAACTGCAAGAGGGACTCTACCTAAAAAACGCAAACATTGTAACCTAGTTCTTCGTACCCTCACATTAACCTAAAATAAAAACCATGGGAGAACATATTTACAAAGAAAAAGAGATGAAAATAATAGACTCAAAAACAGTCTTCTGTATGTTTCCTTGTGATTATTTTTGTTTTTACATTATGTCACTACTAACAGGCAACTTGACTTTTGTAAAAGTCAGTGAAGTCAGTCAGTAGGATGGATAAAGTTCGAGTCAGGTTCCACCGCTATAAAATGATAAGGGTAGGGTAGATTAGATGATCTCTAAGATATTGTTTTCCGAGCCATAAAGTTGTAGTAGTCTTTGAGTGTTTGATCAATAAGGCGTTCATATTATATATGTTAAAGTGCTAAAGGCAATTGTTGAGTTGCACAAATGCAACCAAAATAAAACAACAGACTCTAAATATCTGAAAATTAATGTTTGTCAGATGACATTACATATGGTAAAATACTATGTGTAGTTTTATAGATCTGCTATCAAAAATGTAATTTTTTTGATCTGATTATAAAAGATACTGAACATTATAGTGAGAAAAATTTTAATTTGAATTATATGAGTAAATAAGATGAACCAGTTCAGCTCCTGTGGCTCAATGGTTAAGGCACCCACCACATACACTGAGGCAGGTGGGCTCAAACCTGGCCTGGGCCTGCTAAACAACAATGATAACAACTGCAACAAAAACATAGCCAGGCATTGTGACAGACGCCTATAGTCCCAGCTACTTGGGAGGCTAAGGCAAGAGAATCGCTTAAGCCCAAGACTTTGAGGTTGCTGTGTGCTATGATGCCACAGCACTTTACCAAAGGTGACATAGTAAGACTCTGTCTCAAAAATAAATAAATAAATAAAATAAGATAAACCTTGAAACTTAAAATAGTACTCAGAAATAAAAGATGGTTTGACGTGGTTGCTTATAGAGGCCTCATCCCTAAAATACAGGGTGTCAAGATGCTCTCCGTAATTCACACCATGCAGTAAGTGCCCATGCTGGCTTCTCACGACACAGGCCCTGGAGAACAATCAAGTGGTATGATTTTTCTCTAATAGAACCTAAGATATAGAGGAAAGCTATTAAACTGCAATGTACTGTCTTCAGTCAAGGCAGTATGAGTAAATAAAGCGTTTTGGAGAAAATGATAGAAGATCAGGATATAGAGGAGAATAAAGCAAAGATTACGAAGGGCCTTGTGGATATGCAAAGGAATTTACAGAACACTGGATGCCAGTGAAGAGTTATGAACATAAAGATAATGAGCTGGGTTTGGGGTTTTACACAGACTATTTTAGGAAAGAAATGGAAAATGACAGTCATAATGCCACTGCAACAGTCAACACCAGACTCTCAAACTTTGTGTTGTTGGAATACCTCGACCATTCATTGTTTTTACTTTCCAATAGAAAGATAATTCAGGGATTAACAAACAAAATAATCATTTCTGGAGTAGGGTTTTGTGTGTGTTTATTTTTGCTTTTACAATAGAACATCAACGATGTGTACATATTAAACCACATTGCTAGCAAGTCTTAGAGAGCAAGAATTTCAAAAGCAATTAAGAAATAATACTATGATGCAGATATGCATAATTATAATCAAAAGGTTAAGAAAACAACCTACAGTAAGCCATATTAATGATTAAACAAATTGATAACAAAAATCAACCACAGCCATAATAGAAAATCACAGCTATTGGAAGACGGCCAATTACAAGCATATCTTTGCTCCAAATTCTAAGGATTCTAATTACTCTTAATAATTCACATATTATGTGGGCTTGGGTGAAGTTCAGGTTTCATGCATAGACTCCATGATGCTTCTGAGAAATTCAGGCAGAGAAGCCAAGTGGGCAGCTTGGCAGAGGAGCAGGCGATGGGTGGAACGAAGAGAGCTGCCCTGTTCTGCAATGCTGGTCTATCCCTGCCCCACCTGAGGTGGTTCCCATGTGAGAAAGACAATGGATGAGGGATGGATGTGTGGAGGTGTGCTGGGGATTAACATAAAGTGAGGACCATCTCCCCAGCATGCTGGGGTGTAAAACCAGGGAGAACAAAAAGTGAGCTGACTCCAGGACCCCTTGTTTCACATTTTTTTGTGTGTGGGCTCTCTGCATGCCAGCACGCCGCCAAGTTCTATAAAGTCCTGCATCTTACTAATTTTGCAGCTTTTGAAGATCTTGGCACCATGTAAAACTGTCCAATTATTTAGTCAGAGATTTATTCTCAAATATGCCAGAAATTAAGATACTCTTTCACAGATCCAGTTAGCCCCTTTAGGTCCAGGGTTCAAGAGTTATTAGGCTGACTCAATGCAAGACAGCCTCATTAACAGAGTAACATTCTAGCTCCTTCCCAAAAAGCCAAGGGGAGGGAAACAGAAGCAGTGTGGGAGCAAAACAAACATAAGAATGGAGAAGGCTTGCACTTAGGTCTGGAACTAGTTATTAGTCATGTCAGCCTAATCAGATCAGAGGATTCCTTCAGACAAAAGAATAAGATATTTTGGTTCGAGGCTCATTAAAATTTAGAGTGCTTAATTTCCTCCTTAACTTTTAAGTAGCTAGAAAGACAGAAATAATGAAGATACCAATAAAATAGACTGCTTTTTTTAAACAAAAAATTTTACAGTTAAAATAATTTTTAGAGTTGTTAAAATTTAACGTATTTTAAAGTCTTTTCTAACATTTTTTGTATCTTATTCTATAAAATAAAATTAGGATGAGATGTTCGAAAAAACAAAATGAACTTCAGCTAAAAGCAATGACCAAATTTAGTTGAATTTAGATGTGTTGGCTCTGTTTTCCAAATTAAAATGTAGAAAACGAAGATTTCTTTGGAAAATGCTATCAAAATAATTTCTTGATTATTACTCTTCATTATTTCATGCCCTTTGATGCTTAACTGTGAATAATTGGCTTTTAGGGTCACTGTAGCAGTGATGATTAATTCACCTATCTACTATTTAGCTTTTCAATGTCTATAATGACACAAATGAGCAACAGTAAGGCTAGAATTCAAGCTAAATATTTAAAAAGCAGCAACAAAGAAGAATACTCACGATGTGGGACCTCCAGGGGATGCCCCGTGACATCACACCACCTGACCGGGTGGATGTCAGGGCTGTCCGCCTCCACCCAGTAGTCATACTTCTGGTCCCAACCATCAAAATGAACCTGTCAAAATGAGTTGTGAATAATTAGTATTTAGTGATTAGTTTTTCACTACCCTTGTATCAAAATATTCAGAAATGGATTTCTTGAGCTGAGATTAAAGTTTATTAAATAAATGATATTTAAAATATGCTGCTCCATAGCCTTCTACAAGTAACCTGGTCATCAAAGACCATTATACCCATTTTTCAAAGAAATTAAAGAGATGGATAAATAAAAAAAAAATTATCAGGGGTTGGTTAGAATGTGAAGGGATAAGACCAATCCATTTTCTCAACTAAGGCAAACCCTGTGACGCTATTGAGAGGGCATGGTCTGTGCTGATGGGTGACCTGGCAGCCACCGCAACAACTGTGTCACCAGCAGTGTCAGCCAGAGCCTACAGGCCAATGACAGTGCAGGCTTCACACTCGTGGAAAAGCATGGACTCAGTAGAAGGAAGCCACAGATTCTCACAAGCAAGAGAGAGACCCAACAGAGGCAAAGAGAGCAGACAAATGTGCTACTGGTGTAGAAGGATTTAATAGCACCTTAATGGCCACCAAAGGACAAAGCATTAGTTATCAGCAAATCCTCCACTTCTTAGCAGCCTGGGGCCAGCAATCCCATTGGCAGAGGCTCAAACAAAGATAATTTATTTCTATTTTGTATCTTATCTACAAAACACACACATACACACACATACCATGACAAGTCTAAGAGACCAATTTTCAGAAAGAAAAATCAACTATTGTAACTATCTTATAACTTATAGATATTAACTTATAACTTATAATCAACTATTATAACTATCTTATCTACAAAACCCACACACACACACCATGGCAAGTCTAAGAGCCCAATTTCAGAAAAAAAAAATCAACTATTAATTTCTTAAATATAACAACTCCATGTTCTGAAAGTTTCATGTCTGAATAAAAATATCAATTTTATTTGTGCAGGAAAAAAGTGTCAAAAAGTTCATTATTATTAAATAACTCTACTTATTCCCTTACATATTTTCAGATTTGACTATGAATTAAACAAAGAATCTATCCTTTTCACTGCCAAAAAAAACTCTCATAATTTTTAAGAAGTTATACTTCAAGTAAAAAACATAAGATGCCTAGCATTGTAATAAACCAATGAAATATAAATCTATTATGCAAAACATAGGGCCAAAAAAAAGGGAATATTGTATGCTTAAGTCCAAAAGCAAGTCCCAATACACTTTTATTTTTTCTTTGCTTTTTTTTGCTTTTTTTTGGGGGGGGGGATCTTGCTCTGTCACCTGGGCTAGAGTGCAGTAGTATTATCCTAGCTCACTGCAACCTCAAACCTCATGCTCAAATAATCCTCCTGCCTTAGCCTCCCAAGTAAGTGAGACTACAGGCAAGTGACACTACCAACAGGTCATTTTTCCATTATTTTGTAGAGACAGGGGTCTAGTTAGTTGCTGGGGCTAGTCCTAAACTCTTGGGCTCAAGCAATCCTTTTGTTGCTGCCTCTCAATGTGCTAGGATTACAGACAGGAGCCCATATTTTTTCTCAAGATTCATGTTTCTAAGCAAGCACATTTCAAAATGTAGTTTCCAGATCATCAGTATCATCTGGACCCTCATTAAAATACAAGTTCTTGGGCTCCACCTCAATCCTATTGAATTAGAAATTCTCAGGGTGGTGCTTAACAATCTCTGCGCTAAAACTCTTCTACATTAATCTGGCATATAGCAAAGTTTGAGACCCCATGATCTTAGGAATAACTTTCAAAAGTAAAGAGGAGGTGCCAACAAAAGTATACACATTATAAGAAAGAATGAAACTGTATTAAATTTGTAATATGCAAGTCACGTTTCACTTCTGCAATTACAAGAGGTGCTCAATGTGACTTGATTTCATCACACTGTATCATTCATGGAAAATTTATCAAGTATGTAAATAAACTGGTGAATGTGAGCCATACTCAGTTTTCAAAGAAATAGTCTATAGAAATAGACCCTGAGATGACCCAGATATTGCAATTAGCAGACAAGGACTTTAATTTACCTATTAAAATATGTTTAAGGATTTAAAGGAAAAAAATAGTCTTGAGTGAACACATAGATGATCTCAGCAGAGAAATGGAAACTATAAAATAGAAGCAAAGGGAAATTCTAGGACTGAAAAGCAAAATAATTGAGATAAAAAAGCTGTCGGATGGGTTTAAGAGCAGATTGGAGATGGCAGAAAAATGAGTGAGTGAACACAAAATCATGCCTTAGTTAGAATCCTAGAAATTACTAAAATAAAGGACAGCTGAGGTCAGGGGTGTGAGCAATGAAAACTTACCTAGCAGGTACAATGGGCACCATTCTGGTGATGGGGACACTAAAAGCCCTAACTTCACCATTATACAGTTAATCCATGAAACAAAAACACTTTGTACACCCTTAATATTTTGAAATTAAAGAAAACAAAGAAGAAATGATACAAGATTTAAATACAGTCTCAGGTATTTGTGAGATAATATCAACTCATCCAATGTACATGGACTTGGAAGTCCAGAAGGGGGGAGGGGAGGACAGAGAGGGAAAGGAGCAGGAATAATGGTCAGAAATCTCCCTTATTTGGGCAAAACACCAATTTATTTACAAGCTTAAGAGGAATGACAAAACCCAAGCATAATGAGTACGAAGGAAATAAAAACTAGGCAAACCACAGTCAAACCACTGAAAATAAAAGATAAAGGAAAATCCTGAAAACAATCAGAAAAATGTGAAACGTTACATTGAGGGGAATCATGATAGGAAAAGCCGGCCCACTTCGCATCAGAAACAGTGGAAGCAAGATAACAGAAAGGCATCGATTCATATGAAGGGCCAAGAGGAAATATAAAAAAAGATAAACTCAGAACTTTAAATCCTACAAAAATATCCTCCAGAAAAGGATAAATAAAAACAGAAGAATAGTTACCTACAGATTTGCACTACCAAAAATATTAACATATATGTTTTAGACTGAAGGTAACTGAGGGCAGGTGGAAGCTCTGACCTAAAGGCATGAATGAAGAGCAGCATCGACAAATACGTGGGAAATATGAAAGGCCAGTGCTGCCATCTAATTATGATCAGTCAATTCATCACATCGCAGAATGAAGAAGATAAGTAATGTGATCATCTCGCTGGATACAGAAACAGTGTTTGGCAAAGCTCAACGCATGAGGATGAACATGAGAATAAACAATCTCAGTAAATTAGAAACAGAAGGAAACTCCCTCAATCCGATAAACTGGTAAATGGCATCTATGAAAAACTTAGTTAACGTCTTATTAAATGAGACTTTATTGACTGCTTTCCCCCCAAAGTCAAGAATGAGGCAACCTTATTTGTTTTTACCATTTCTATTCAACATATTTGCAATGCAGAGCAATTAGGCAAGATAAAGAAATAAAAGGCATAAAAACTGCAAATTAAGAAATCATTCTCAATGACAGTTGTCCATGTAGAAAATCATAAGATATCTTTAAAAATTAAAAATTACTAGAATTTAACAAGATTGAAGGATTCAAAGTCAACATAAAATAATTGTATTTCTACCTATTGGCAATAAATAATTGGAAAAATTTTTTTTAAATGTATATTTAGGGTAGCAGTAGAAAACATGAAGAACTTGGCGAAATAGCTGGAAAAGTAAGAAAATGTGCAAGACATATACCGTGAAAACTACAAAATATTCCTAAGAGAAATTAAAAGATGATCCACATAACTAGAATTTTCATGCCCAAAGGCTAGAAGACTAATATTATTAGGATGTCATTTCTTTCTAGATTGTCTTATAAATACAATGGATTTCCACTCAAAAAAGCAGGCTTTTATTTTTGTATTACTAACAAGCTGAGTCTAACATTAGATAGAAATACAAATGACCTAATTTATCCAAAACAATTTGGAAAAATGAATTAGCAAAGTAGTAGGACTCCTGCTACCTGATTTCTAGAGTTAATATAAAAGCACAATTACTAAAACAGTGTTGTATTACCTTAGGATAGGCAAATATATTGATAGAACAGACATACATAAATATGTGACAATATATATAAGACTATATACACACACATAGTCAATTGATTTTCAAAAACTATGACCAGGGCATTCAAGGAGAAAGGTAGTCTTCTCAACAATGGTACCAAAACACCTGGCCATCCACATGTGAAATAAATGAGCCAGCAGGCTTCTTACCTTAAACCCCACATACAAATGAATTTGAAATCAATCATAGAAAAAAGCTAAGATTATAAAATCCAAGAATAAAATTTAAGATAAAATCTTCATGATACTGGAATAGTCGATGATTTGTTGGCACACAGAAAACACTACCCATCTAAGGATAAATTCAATTTTCTCCACAATTAAAAACTTGTTTTTCAAAATTATCAAGAAAAATAAAAGCAAAGCGCAGACTTTTGTGATACATTTATCCAACAAAAGACTTGACCAAAAAAAAAAAAAATCCACTACACATGGGCAAGAGACTTGACAGACACTGTGGGAAAAAGTTAATGAATGATCAATAAGCAAATAAAAAAAATCAACATCACTCTTCATCAGAGAAGACAGAGCGAAGCAGTATTGGACACCCACGAAAACGACCTAAATGGCCAACAGTGTCAATTACTGGTGACATGTGGAGCTCCCAGAATATGCCTAACAATGTCAGTGAGAGCGTAAAATTGTACAACCACTTTAGAAAACATGTTGCTATATTTTTTATAAACATGGGCCAACCCTGTGACTTCCAGCAATTCCACACAAAAGAGATGAAACAAAGTCATGTAAACAAGTGTTCCTTGCAGTTTTATTAATAATTGTTGCCAAACCTAAAAACAACCCAAATCTCCAACAACAGGCTGTGCTCTATTCATAAGGTGAAGAGTAGTCAGCATCATGAAGGGACCAACGACCGGCGCACACACGAACATGGGATCAGTCAAAGTGCCACCACGTTGAGCAAAGCAGCAGACACAAATGAGCACCTGCTGTATAAGC